GGGGGAGGGGGGGGGGGGCAAAAAAATGACCTTATCCACCCTCCTCCTTTCCTATCAACTGATAACAAAATTTTATTTTCAAAACGTGTTAATTGAAGAATTATCCAAGAAATATAGGAATCAACATCTTTCGCCGATTTTCTAAATTCCACGAAAAGTTCAGATCTTTTTTGACGGTATCTCTCCTTTTTATTCTGTCGTTTCGTTTACCAACGTGTTATAAAAACAAATTATACACGATTCGAAAGAAGAGAAAAATCTCTATCTTGTGATAAAAATAATTTTCTTTCAGCATCTGCCTGTTGAACAGAAGTATGGATCAACATTTTGTACCATTACTTTTGTATTGTACGTTACATTTTTTGATAGCGTGCACGAATGGAATGAAGATCTAGAAAATATATGGTATACATCATCGCATTTTTTTCTTTCTTATCTTTCTGTGAAACGAATGAGTATAAATTGAAAGTAATGATAAAAAAATAGTCGTCCAATATCTAGCGTTTTATTCAACAACCAAAGCACGAGTAAGTGAAGAAAAGCAAAATAAAAAAGTATGAACAATTATTTTTTTTTTCGAAGTCATTCACAATTGCATGTTTGATTGTCCCTTTACTATAAGAATAATGCTAGAACTACCGATTATTGATGTAAATCAATTCACGGATATTTTATGAATTGATCCAAATACTGCTTTAAATAAATAAAAGTTTATTTTACAAACAAAACTATGATCTATGTTGAATAACAAATAAAAAATGTTAAGGATAACCACATCAAGTTTAATTCTTTTGGTTAATAAGAAAAACCTGATGATTAAAATCAAAATAAAAATCTTAACCTAATTTCTTATCTTACAAGTATATTTTACTGACGTATACTTTTTGTTCTTTTAGTTTGTGATAGGATAGCCTTAAATTTCTTATATACTACATCATTCTTCATATCTTGTCTATGATGACATCTGAAGGTGAAGTTTTTGATGTAGCTATTGTCGGATGTGGTCCTGCTGGAATAGCAGCAGCGATAGATTTTCAAACAATTCCAACATTAAAATTTATTGTACTCGAAGCTCGTGATCGTGTTGGTGGTCGTGTTATTACTGATACAACTACATTTGGTATAAATGCACCTGTTGATTTAGGTGCTCAATGGATACATCATTATCGACCTGAAAATCCTCTATATAAACATAATCAATTATCAAAAGATAGTCATATCAATTATCAATTTAATTTACGTTCATCAGCAACACCATTTTTTGATATTGATGGTACAAGAATATCCTCAGATAAAATTGATAAAGCAGAAGAAATTGTTAATCTATTATGTACTAAAATTGAAGAAGCATCACTCTCAATAGATAAATCCATGTTTGATGTTATTAAAACTGAATATGAGAATTATGATAATGATAGTGATCCGCAACTTAAACGATTAATTGATTTATTTTTTGGTGTTATTGAACAATATGAAGCATCAAATCTTGATCAACTATCAGCTAAATCTTATGTAAAATCTGACAGTGCTCTTGCTGAAACTAATTTGGCTATGCCAAATGGTTTTGGTAAATTTATTCAAAACCTTGTTGAACAACATAAACTGCCTGTTGAACTTAATTGTGTTGTTGCTCGTATAGATACTTCATTATCAAATTCGATTGTTCATATATATACAAAAGATGAACGATTATTTTTATGCAAATATGTTCTTGTTACAATTCCACTTGGATGTTTAAAAGCTCATTCAATTCAATTTATACCAAATTTACCTGAATGGAAACAAAATGCAATAGATGTTATGGGTGTAGGCATATACGATAAAATCTTTCTTCAATTTCCATTTATATTTTGGGACCCAAAATGGACTTCAATATTTTGTACATCACCTCGATTTCGTTTTATTTTATGTCGATCTGATGTTAGTATGCTTTCAATTAAGCTTGGTGGTCGAGTTGCATTAGAAATTGAACAAAAAAATGAACAAGAAACAATTAATGAAGTTATGATTCTGTTAAGAACTATTTTTTCAAATAGAAATGTACCTGAACCAACTCGATATCTTACTACTAAATGGGCTCAAGATCAATTTGCAAAAGGTGCTTATTCCAATTTTGCTGTTGGTACAGATAATCAAACTTTAATTGACCTTGGTCGAGAATGTAATGATCGAATACATTGGGCAGGTGAACATGCAAATTATGATGGAACAATTGGTTGTGTCGATAGTGCTTTTGAAAGTGCACAGCGTGAAGCCAAAAAAATAGTATCAAAATTACCACTATAGATGTGTTTTCTGAATAAGCAAAAAAAATGAATGTAATTGTTCTTGATTGGCTGCAATTACAAATGATGGAGTAGATATTTGGAATAAAATAATGGATTACTCTATTTCAGTTTTTAGGGTGTGGGTGTGTGTGGATGTGGATGTGGGTATGGGTGGGGTGTGGGTGTGAGTGTGAGTGTTAATCTTGTCTCTATTCACACCCACACCCACACCCACCGTAAAAGCGACTCTCGTGTCCTTTTAATTATAAAATATAATTTTCTCTTTAAACTAAAAAGAATTGCATTTTAATATTTTGTACAAATTTAACTTTGCTAAATTTCTTCTATCTGTAAAATAATTTTCGTGATTAACAAATCTAGGCTTAATGTACAAAAGTTGCGTTTTAGCGATCCTAGTGTTTCACTAAATGCTTATTTAAGATTCAACATAAACAAAAATGAAAACTATATGATTCGATCGAGTAATGAATATTCTGTTTAATCATATCCAAATGAAAAAATTCGGATGTTTCGCAGACATACAACTAGCGGAATAAATCTATAAAAAAATAATGTAATCTACCTGTATATACATAGTCTTTTACAACGGTAAAATGTTAGATTAATCTAAGAATTGTTTCCACTATCATGTAGATATGTTATTATCTGATTAAAGTAATACAGTCTTCACTAAACGATGTAGTGCTTTTTCCATGTGCTTCACCTGTCTTCTATTGCGCTCATTTTTTTTGGTTAGCTATATTTTTGATTATGAATGATGTAAAGATTATGCAATCGCTGAACCAGATCTTGCACATTTTTAAGTAGTCAAAAAAACAATACATTAGAAAAGAGTTATTTTCATGCAAGTGTCATGAAAATGGATCGTGTGTCGAGATTTTGATTACTGGAAGTTGAATTTCATGAAAAACTTATCTTTCGTCGTGAAATCCTTGAAATAATATCTATCTTCATGATATTTTCTATGGAAATGACTCTTTTCTCATTTATTGTTTTTTTTTAATTAATTAAGAATGTCCAAGGTCTGGTTCAGTGATTTCATGCCTTCATACCATTCATAATTTCAACATAGTTAAACAAAAAAGAATTATCGTTGATATATGCGTCAGTTACTTTTATTGTAGAACTCATCTGTGAAACTCTTTGGTATTTTTTTTAATTTTAGAATTAATTGGCTAGTTTTGTTTATTACCGATTATAAAATGTCTTTATGTTAATTCCACTGAACTGAAATATTGGTTTACTTACGATCATGAAAATGAATATCTCAATAGTTTCTTTCGACATCTTAATCGACTCTATGTCAATTATTCGTCCATTATCAACATAAATCATGATACCATTCCTGTTTTCGTTATTGATAAACATCGTTTTCCTCAATTGTAATGTTCACGTTTCATTTTATGCAATCATATCTCATCAGCATGATGCAACATTTACAAATGGATGGATTTCATTTTCTCTCACATTAATGAACATCAACTTAAATCTTTACAGTTTGAGTTTATCGAAAAAGAACACGAAGTGACTGATATAAAACGGGCGATAAAATAATCACAATGACTTGGTGTGGGTGAAATGGATCTACACTCACACCCGATCCATTGTCAAAAAGGATGTTCTTGAACCGATTCGTTGGATCGATGTTTGGCAATATATATAATATCTGAATAACTAACTTTGTTTAGTTTTCGGTGCTCTATTTCAGACTATATTGGATAAAAAATTTGACTGGGCCGATGTCGCGCTATTCAAATCAACGTTTTCAGTATACTTTTGGTGGAAATCGGAGTTGCAAGAAATCGATAATGCCTAACTTTTCCATAAAACAATATTAAAGGCTAAATTTTGAGTTTAGTAGTTTCAGATGTTGGTCTTTCGAATGCACATGAAAAAAAATATGATAAGTGCTTTGTATACTCGATCGATTCATGGGTTCTCTCTTAATAATAGAAGAATAAAGGTGACGATGCTTCTTTTGAGTATAAAGTTCCTTTTTTCCTGTCTGGAGAGTTTTTTCTAGTGAATTTTATTTCAATAGCTTCAATTCAACGACAGGATATAGTATTATTTTAAGCACCACATGGTTGTTTTCCATTACAGCCAAGACCTCCAACTCCATCGCAACCATAAACAACAAATGTTTGCTCTTGATATTGCCATTCATAACTACCACCCATACCTTCAATTTCATATTCACAGCAACCGTATCCTGAAAATTTCATATCAACACGTTGTGATTTATTCCAATTTTCTTTTGTAAAAACAATTTGTGGATTGCCATTAACTGTGAATTTTGCACATTCTGTACCATTATAATACAAACTTGGCTTTGGTCTAAAATTGATTGTTACTTCATCACCCAGTGAATGAACAGGTGGTGTTTGTAATGTCAATGTGAAATTATCAAGACCACCATCTGGTGTAACAACAAAACCACGTACTGGTGATTTTGAGTAACCTAAGCCATGAAAAGACACTAGTAAAAGATGTACGACGGATAAAATAAAAAATTACCGTTATTAGCATTGCCACATGCTGATGGCCATTGTGCAGGCAAATTAAACAGTGGTTCAACTTCCGATGGGATGCCATTTATAAATGATAAGTAAATGACCGATGTATATCTACGAAATTGAAAAGAAAGACATTTTTGGTTAGAGGCCGATGAAAGGGCTCAAATTTTTCAGCTAGATTATAAGGCCTGAAATGCTAACTCCAATAAAAACGGTTGATAAGTGAATCATCTAAGAAAAATCGAAGCATCGTTTCTACAGCAAATGTGTAGGTTCGGCTAATGTCGCTTGCTGCGAAAGAATCCGGTAAAACAAATCAGGGAGAAATTTGGTATTTTAAGATCGATATTTCGATTAACAATTTTTTTTCCATAGTGCTTAATGTTTTTCTGACATAAAAAATATTAAAAATTTCAAAACCGTTCTTATAGTCTCCAAAGAACAACACAAGTCATATTTTCTGGTGCCTTGACACTACCCTAACTGACATGTTTCTTAGTCAGAAGTTGGGGGCGTTAGTTTCTGGCTTCTGTTTCCAAAAACGAGGCACTTCGCGAGTTCCGGAGATCCGTCATACATTGAATTTTCAGTTTATGAAAATTCGAAAATCATTTCGATATCCTCAGAGGTAATCAAGGATAAATATAGACACATCAATGCGCTCGGATATGTACGAAAAGAGTTTTTAACATGAGTTTTCGTTTTCTGGAAGCAGAAACTCTGGAAAGAGAAACCATGGCATGCGTAGTCAGAGATGTAGTCACTATATTTCTAACTAAAAAAATTTGATTTAAACCGTCAATTACTTACTCATCACTATCATAAAGGCCAGTTGCTGCTCTTGCTTGTATTGTTTTAACTGGTGTACCATTATTGGTTTCAAAGTAACTTAAACATGGTACTTTACCAATGCCACTTGTTTTTAAATTACATATGTCAGATGAATCATATCTCTAAAGATCAAAAGCAATGTCTGATACTGAAAGAGTGATGTATTTGTTAAAGAGACCTACAAGTGCATTAATTTGCAACTCTGGAATCCATTCAATACCTTTATAAACTAAATTATCGGGTAATGGAAACCATGGCTTCATATCAATATCACCACCAGCAGTTATCCATGAATATGGAAATGCACCGAAATCTTTTATTGGGAGAGTATTATACCAACAGTTACCCTTAACAAAAAAAAAGTTGCTTTTTGTTTTTTCAAAATTGAGAGCTTACCTTAGTCAATTCTGGATAATCAGGATTGAAATTAAACAATGTGTAGCCTTCTGCTACCGGCTAAAACAAAGAAGACAATTACCTGATTTATGGCTACTTCTTAAATTAATTTTGAAAGAAAACAAATAGCGACCTACTCAGTTTTCTGTTTTAATAAAAGACTATTTAGGACATCGAACTGTGACCAGTACATCTTCGAAAAACACGACATGTACTGACTTCATCGTTTCCTATACGCCTAGTGTTACTTACCGATCCGTGTTCAGCTCCATTTGGTTTATATTGTATCATATATGTTTCATTTTGTTTAGCTCTCCAACCTTTTATATCAAATCATGCACGTTGATTAATGAAATCATAAACTAATTGTTCTGGTGCACCAGAATCTTTCCAATGTAAATAGGATGTCTGATTTAATATAGCAACAAATTGTTTTGGAAAACCTTTCGGTTGTTGTTCAGAATGAGATTGACTGTGTTGAATAAGAAGAATGGTTATAGTAATAACGACCAGAAAAGCTTGCTGTTGCATGTTTATTTCGTTTTTGGGTGGCGTGAGAAATGATTTTACCCATAATTAAACGGAGTAACATGCATTTATATAGATTTTGAAAATAAATTGGCGCATAGAAAGAGAATAGCCTTGAATATTAATATGCTTATCTTTTTTTCTATTTGCCATGGTGAGACTTGTGTACAGGTGGGACATTGCTGATGCATCTGACTCATTCATAGAAACCTTTGAATGCTTGATCATAATAAGAAAAATGTCAAAATCTTAAATGACATTGGGATGCTATATTACTATTACTTTGATTCTTTATGATTGTAATACTATTTGAGTTTAAACTATTTTTATTAGTTGGAAGCAATACAGCTGATATCAGGCATTGTTCAAACATTACATGCATTTTGTAGATCTTCTCAGATTTGCAGAATTCCAAGGGAAAAAAACAATATACAAAGGCTTCTGTCATATTGTAGCTGTTTCTGCTTTGGCTCCAGTTCTATTATCTAGCGCAATTATTATTTCTCTTGTTGATAGTGGTGAGCAAGGGCGCAATTAGAGTCCGAACATTAGGGATATACGAAAATTTTCGAGTCAGGACGGCATTGTTTTCTTCCTGTAGCCGAAAAGTGAGATCCAACTCAAGCAGTAAGGTGATATCGAATAACAAGGGAAATAGAACATCATCGCTTGAACGAAGATGATTCGTGCTAGCAATCTTATCGTCTCTGTCATTATTCAGAAACCAGAACATGACCATCCTCGAAATTGAACTGCCATTGCTGATGTCTACACAACTTAGACAGCCAACATTAACAACTGATTCCAATTTGCAATGGACGAATAATAATAAAAATCAAATCGAAAAAAGTGATGATCAAGGATCGGAAGAAAATCAAAATTCGTCTACGGCACCTGGTGGTGGTAGTATAAATAGAGAATTTCTCACAATCGATACATCATCCCGCAAGGGTCGAGTATCGATGAATAAAATAACTAAGAAAACAGGGCACCTGAATGCATCATTAAAAAAACTTCGTTGCTCACTGCTCATTTTGCGGTGCATGTCGTTTTATAATTACTTTTTATGTTTTGTCGGAACTTCGAGTGTCGTTGCCGATGATACGAGCATAAGACTCAATCTGATCTCGACTCATGTGTTTCATTATTTCTCGAACTCGTCTTAATTCAGGCATGGGTCGAACTTGAATGTCTAGCCTGAATTGAGCTCGTCTTCGAGTGTTCGATGTTACTCGAGAGAACAGGTAAAGCCATCGACAATTCAATGACGCATAGCGACGATCCGACAATTCATTTATTCATACATGTCCCTTTGAAACTTCACCTTATCAATAGATTAATCGTCATCTTCATGATTATCCAGATAAACCAATGCGATTTACTAAAAATGAAGTCCGATTTCAATCATGGGGAATCGTTGTTGCTATTCGTGATGCATTTGATATTGTGTATTCAGTTACTGAATGGTTTGCTGGTTCAGGTACTATAATAATGTATGCTGATGATGTATGCTTTCATGCTGACGGTACATCAAATGGGTGTGGGTGCGGGTGTGGTTGTGAGTCTTAATGTCATCGACACCCACACCCTCGTTCCCCTATATATACACTGATCTTTCTTCCATTTGTTTGTTCTTTTTAAGACCGATTATTATAGGAGTGTGTTTCTCATTTGCCATTCTAAGGACTTCTTATCTTCCATTCGTTTCAAGAGTGTTGACAAAGAGCTAGAGAAATCTCTGTGCATCCAACAAGGTAGAGATAAAAGAAACGAAAATGAGTGAAGCGAACCGTCACCCAAAGAAAAGACAAAGCGAAAAGTCATGAATAAAATTTACGGGTGTTGTTCTCATGGCTGTTCTCATTTATCAACCTTTTTACTCGTCTAGTAAGGCATGTGCGTGTAGAAAGCCGCTAGAGGAGGTATGTGCTTTGTCTGTTGAATTCGTTATCATATGCAAGGTTCAAAACCAAACTGCGCAAAAAAAAAGATGGGTATGGGTGGAACTGCGGATATTAATAAAGGTATAGATGACAGAGCCTGTAGACCCGTTAGGCTTGAGCCTTACCTGAATTGGACACTATTAGGCTCAGCCTTATCTGAATTTAGGCTCTGCAATTTGTTTGCGGTCGAATTTGCTTCTGTTTGATGTAATGAACTTTGCTTTAGTGCTGATAGTAGAACTTTTTGCATGATTATCTCAGCATTGTAAGAAAGAAAAAAGAAATGCGACGGGAATGAAAGCCATTTATTATACCATTGTAGTCCTTAGTGACATCATTTATATTGTCTACACTAAGTCGTATGTAAACTAGACCAATCACAGAGTGATACGCTCAAAAGGCAATAGAACTAAGTATATCCAAACATTTCTCTTTTATAATATCAATATTTCATTAGTGTCAAAGTTAAAACTTGAACTCAATGGAAATTTACGTCTCAACTGGAATTTCAAGTTTCAAACCGATAATACCCTTGCGATGTCTGTGTGAAGATGTGTGAGCCAGCCTTGATAAAACTTCTTTCGCCGCACTCGCACCAGCTGCGATGATATATGTATGTGTGTAAATGTGTTTGAGTCAGGATTCCTCAGAGTGCTATCAGTTTGACACTTGAAAGTTGAAAATTGAAATTTCAATTGAATTCAACTTCCAAGTTTGACATATATGAACGACAAAAGACAAGCGATTTTGGATTAATAGTTTAATTTGAAGGAAATGATTTTTTTACTATGATATTTTTGTACTCAGTAGAGATTCAAAAATTCTTGCGATAAGGAATAGAGCGAGCTCGTGCTGTATTTTTCAAATTACCAAAATAATTAAATAATATAAAACGAGTTATTACCTGAATTTATTGTAATCTATGTTAAGATTACATTTAAAAGTTTTCTAGAATAACCAATAGTCTTACACTGAGCCTTACCTGATTTCAAAACGTTTCGCCGCCCCTGCCCACCCCCACCCACACCCATCTCTGAGTACGGATATCAATCCAATCGAAAATTTGTGGTCTCTGCTCAAGGTGAAAGTTAGTCAACAACGCGCGCTTACGCAAAGAGATCTGATCAATGCCATATTACAAAGATTGGAGAGAGCTTCCAAACGAGCTGGCATTGAATCTTGTAGATAGTATAACAAATCGTTTCAAGTAGTGATCGCGTCGTCCGGTGATTATATTCTTTACTGAGAAGCGCTTAAAAAGTTTTCTTCTTGCCTATGCCATAGTTTGAACTTGAGGAAAATGAAAACATTATAAAAATGTTTTTCTTCACACGTTCTCGCAAATTACACGTTCAATACAGGCATTCCTAGAGCAAAGTTGACTAAAATTAACAAGCCTAGAAAGAACTTAGGGATCAAACGAGACGTTTAGCATTTCGATTGTCTTTCGAAAAATCGTTGAATATTGATTTAGAGGTAATTCGAGGTCAAAGTGGTGTTTGAATCACAACTCCAGTCTATCTCAATCTATAGAGCTCTGGTTGGTGCTTGCAATCACAGGGTTTTTAGCTGTATCTCTCGTAAAAATTTCATGGCTAGCAGTCGAACTGATGTTGACTTCCACACATCTCGGGACTTATGACCAGTAGTGCATATAATTGTTTAGGAAAAATTTGCACAATTAAGAAATTCGAAATACAATAAATAATACATATAATCGAATGACTAGATTTTTATTTCTAATATATTTATTTTCTCATATTACATTTGTTTCAATTAGAATAGCTGCTGTCAAAAATGCAATATAATATACAAGTAATACAGAGCCAAATCGACGACTAAAAAAGAATTTATTTAAGGGAATAAATACAAGTGTACCGGATAAAATTCCAAAGAGACAATAAGCCATTACATTTTGTAATAAAGATTTATCAATCTGAAACATAAAAACATATGAATTTTTAATTAGAAGATAAACTTTTCTACTTGATACGTACAGGGAATGCTGTACCAGTTTTTATGGTAATATATGTAAATGGAATTCCAAGTCCCATAAGAAAATCTAAAATAAAATCCATTTTTGTTATCGACTATTAGTTCATGAATACTATGGGAAATAACCATCAATGAAAAGTCGACTCGTTTAGTTTTGCGAAATTACAGAAGTTGCTGACAATATGAAAATATATCAAGCAACCGAGATCTTACAGAAAGTTCTCTGGCATAGGTTCGAAGATATTTTATCTTCTCATAGGTAATTCAATTAATACTTACTTAAAAGGGGAGCACCATAACAAGCTGATATGCCCATATTTGGATAACCTTGTCGAGCAGAAGCAATATTTGAAACACAATCTAATAAACAAAGATAATAAAAGGAAACAAAACAATAATAATATATTTTACCGCCTAAACTATTTCCCCATGCAAGAAACGTTAATCCAAGAATTGTATTACTGATACCAAAGACAACGCCAAATGTTGTTAATAAATTAATAATTTCATGTGCAATTGAATAAATCCATACTATAGATACCACAAAGCCAAGAAAACCAAAACCCTGGAAAAAACAAAGTCTTATCAAATAAAAATAATCACGAGTGGCCCAGAATAAATAATGATGCTAGTATTTTTTAAATATCTCGTTCGGTTTTCTCCAAAATCGTTTAAAAACAAATGTCATACGAGTGGAAACAAAAACAATCACTTAAAAATTTCTTCGTATTCGCATATGCAACACCAACGACTCCTAAAGTATAAAATCCAGGTCTCTTGTATTGGTGTGTTCTGATTCCCAGCTGTATTGACCAATTAAACTATCTAATTGCAGAGCTTTCAAAGCATTTCCTTTTGTGAAATACGATCTAAAATGAGTGTTGAAGTGTATAGAGGCATAAATTTGGACTCCCGCACAGATGTGGCAGACACCTTAGAAACGCATTTCCATCGTATCACGGATCGTGACAGACATATTTCTGAGAAAGCGAAGTTTGTTGTGAAATCATTGTGAAACACGACTGGGTTGAAAATGTTCGTTTGTTATCTCTGTCTCTATTCACACTCATTATAACATATTACTACCAACATCTTTTAACAGGAACGCAGATTAATAGTACATAGTAATTCAACAACTCATACATATTTTGCTGAAATCCCATATTTATACTATAAAAAGCTCCATCGTATTGTGCTAACAGCTTTTTAGTGCGTTCAAGAATTTTACAAGAAAATCGTGTAGCGTAAAAACAACGGTTACGATTTTCATGCTTGCATAAAACGCATTGTACCAGGAAGTCGGAATTTCAATGGAAGAAATTTTCGGTCCGAGTAGGAGCCCTTCAGGCCGAACCGCTTGTCGTTTTGACATAATTGGGAGCTGTAATCAATAATTCACCGACCTTTTACACCCGACCGCAATTACCCTAACTTATCTTATTACCCTAATACCTTAATTTTTCATAGTTGTGAAAAATTCATATAACTCACTCAAAAGTTATTTTTTAGCGTAAAACTTCTTGTTATCCAAATGATAATAAGTTATTCTACGAAATACTTTGAAAGTCTACCTTAATTTCGATTGATTAAATCTAATTTCCTATCGATTAGGTTCAAGGAAAAATTCTAGCAATGCTATACTCGAACTGATCCTCGGAAAACTCGATCCTTTGACGATATTTTCATTCCAATGTTCCATCAGATAGAACTCACAGGATTTTATTATAATTGAAACTCTAAAGCTTTGGAACAGTGTTTTAGCAGTAGAAAGCAATAAAAATCAATTTGAAAAGTAGTGTTTTGAAAGTCGTTGATATTACATGTTCGAAGGGTTCTTTAGGTAACTTTTTTGTTTTTACTTCTACGACATTCGCTTTTATACGATTTTGTAGAGAATTAAACGGAGAATTTTTTCGTAAAAAACTTAGTTCGAAACTATGAAAACTGAAAGATATGTTTAGAAAATACTGATACTGCTATTCATTCTTGGCCATCCATTATCTTATTACCGAATGACACTTTGGTTTTGTATGACGGTCAGTGAGTATTAACGATGCGATACAAAATATTGCTCCAACAACTGCTACAACAGCCCATACAGGAAAAACATTTCCAATTTTAATAAATCCTACTAAAGAAAAACAAAATTATTCTAAGGAAGATTATTTTCTTGATCAAAATCTGCTAACATTTTGTTAAAAATGACACTACCAATGGGCTTGAAAGAAGATGAAATGAATTCAAAAATTTATTCCAATTATTTTTCGGTTTATCATGATCAACCAATGGAACAGTAAGATGAAGAATGAGTACAACAGGTAACTATAAAATATTACTAAATATACCTACATTATAAAAACAATCTATCTTACTTTAATTATTGAAAAAAATTTATTCAATATACTTCTTTTTGCCCATGCTATATCATCCCGTGGTAAAAATTCATGGCGATGCGATAATGCAAATGAAACATCAGCTTGTGAATAATGGTGATCAGGAGTGTCTCCATTAATATCATTAACACATATAGATGTTTGTCCATTTATTTCTATAGGTGCAGAAGTTCTAGTTACTACTTCGATTTGTGCAGCTTTTAATAGAGCTTGACGCTTTTTTCTTCGTTGATTTATAAGACGTCCACCAATTACAAGAATTAAATAAATAATATATATTATTATAAAACCTAAACTTTCCATTAAATGAATTTTTCCATCATACATTATAATATAAGCAGCGAATGTTGCAATAATAAAAAAAACTATGTCACGTAATAGTGGTCGTTGAATGGAATGAAACGGTTTTAAAAGAGATATTGAACCAACAATAACTGTTGTTACAAATACACCAGCACCTAAGAAAAAAAGAATTTTTCTATTAAATCATTTAAAGCAAAAAGTTTTTCTTCATATACCAAAAAGTGCACCAAATGCTAAACCAAGATCGCCAGATTTAGCACTGCCAACAGCTGCTACAGCTGAAAATATATCAGGTGCACCATTACCAAATGCAAGAAAGGTTACACCCTAAAGAAAAAAATGTTCAGTATCATATATAGAATAGTCAAAATATACTCACTGCAATATTTTCTGATAATTTAAGAACTCGAGTGATAACACGAAGAGCAGGACAAAAACTAAAATAAAGGATTTTAAATTGTTGTCTTTTTTTCTAATTTATTTATTTACTAAGAATCAGCAGTCACACCAAGACCGATGAATAGTACAAATAACCAACCAGCCTGAAATTGCATAAAGTTATTATTCGAAAAACTTTTTTTTTTTCATATTTACTAATAGTGTTAGCCCAAGAGCGACTAATTTGTCACCTATAGTACAAAACAGAAATACGAGATATGGTATAAAACCATTTTCCATTTCACAGTCAGCTGTTGTACGTATAAAATTACATGTATCATTAGCAAAGTTACGATACTCTCGACACTAGAGAGAGTCACAAATAAAATTAAATCAAATATTTTAAAATAAACTATTATTACCTCAAAGTGTGCAGTCATTTTCAAGGATTTATAATCTAAAATGACGACGAATTTTATGTTCTTTATATTCATATATGACAGGCAATGTTGATATGGCGAGAACAAACGTATGATAAGAAGACATGTGCATCCATTATAACTTCAGAAGAACACAATAGATAAGAAATATGACAAAGTCCTCGTACGTGTCTCGACAAAACTTTGAATGAATAGTTAGAACAAAGGTCGAAAGAGCTAAAAACGAAAGCAATTGATAAAAGATGGATATCTTGATCTTGATCTTGATATCCGGTAGGCTGATCGCCCGTCGGGGCCAACCCTAATGGGAAACGGCAGACTTTTGCACTTCAAGTTACTTTATGCTACTTTGAAGTACTTCGAGCTACTTCACGCGTATTTTGAGCTACTTTACAGGTACTTTGGGCTACTTTAAGCTACTTTGAACTACTTTGAGGTACTTTGAAGTACTTACAGCCACTTGAAGTACTTTGGGCTACTTTGAGCTATGTTAAGCTACTTTAAGCTACTTTGACCTACTTTGGCCTACTTTAAGCTACTTTGACCTACTTTGAAGTACTTTAAACTACTTTTGCATTTTGTTGTACTTTTCTACTTCAAGTCTGCCGTTTCTCCCTAGGGCCAACCACTCTTTGAATCAATTCTTTCCATTGATTTCTGTTCTGTGCTAGATGAACCAGATCTTGGCAGCTGTACGCGCACCATTCCGTGATGTTATCTAGCCATTCTCTGCATGGTCGTCCTCTTCTGGATTTCCCATCTATTCTGGAAAAAACTACGTGTTTTAACAGTCTAGTATTATCCATTCTACAGATGTGACCGAAGAGTCTTAATTTTCTTTTTTTAATGGTGTCTATTATGGTTTCGTGAGCTGCTATTTTATTTCTAATGTCAGCATTATGCACCATATCTTTCCAATGAATCCGTAGTATTCTACGATAGCATTTCATTTCAAATGCAAGCAATTTCTTCTTGTCGCCTTCTTTGAGAGTCCATGTTTCTCAAGCATATAGTAATACGCTGAAGACGCAAGTATTTAACAACTTTAGTTTGTTTTCAACTTTTAGTTTGTTCGCATTCCAAATATGCTTTAGGTTTGACATCGATCCAATTGCTTTGTTGATTCTTCTTTTGATTTCTTTTGAGCAGTTGTTGTCCCAGGTGAGTAAGCTTCCCAGATATTCGAACTCTTCAACGTTTTCGATGGTTTTGCCGTTGATTTGTACTTGTTCATCCATGTTCTTGTCGCCAAACACCATCGTTTTTGTTTTACTTGTGTTTATCATTAGTCCTACTTCTTCAGCCACTTTTGTAAGTTGATCGATTTGTCTGTGAAGTGAGGGCCACTCTTTATTCAAAAGATCGATGTCGTCGGCAAACCTCAAATTATTGATAATTATTCCATTGATCTTGATTCCATTGTCTTTTGATGTTATTTTGTCCATCACTCTCTCCAAGTATGCAATGGACAATAGTGATGACAGAGGGTCGCCTTGTCTGGTTCCAACACTTGTTTGGAACCATTCACCAATATCCGTACCTATTCGAACTGCCGATCGAGATTTTCCATAGATCTTTTTTAGTAGTGCTACCACCTTGTTATCAACGCCATACGATCGTAGGACAGTCCATATGATTTTGTGTCTGATTGTGCCGAATACTTTTTGAAAGTCGATGAAACAGTTGTAAATATTTTTGTCATTGCGTTTTGCTTTTTCTGCCAGAAGTCTGAGTATCAGAATTTGGTGAATTGTGCTTCTGTCTTTCCTGAATCCTGCCTGTTCTTCTGACAGATATGGATCCAGATGGTGTTTGAGTCTATTTAACAACACCATTGGTAGAACTGTTTCTGTATGATTTATAAGAGATATTGTTCTATAATTGGAGCATTCACTGAGGTCGCCTTCCGGAGGGATTGTTACTAGGATTGACCTTCCCCATTCTTCTGGAATTGTTTCCTCTTTCCATGCTCTATTGCACAGTTCGTGAATTTTGTGTACCAGTTGTTCACCTCCAGCTCGCAACATTTCGGCTGTTATTTGATCGGTTCCTGGACTTTTATTTTTCTTCAGCTTGATTATTGCGTTCTCGATTTCATCATATAATATGTCAGTTGAATTGTCTGTGAAAGAAGGAGTTATGCGTTCGAGTTCTTTTACCATTTCTTCTCCACTATCTTTGTCTTCATATAGGAGACTGCAGTATTGTGTCCATCGTTGCTTGATACACTCTTTTGATTGTGCCATTGTGTCATCTTTGTTTCGTATGATAGTTGATTTTGGTATATATTTCTTTTTTAACATCTTTACCAACTTGTATGCTTACTTAGCGTTACCAACTTCGGGACCCTTTTGAATTTCTTCACATTGATCTTGTATCCATTTGTTCTTGTCTTGTCTTGCTGACTTTTTCATGTTGTTACAGAGATCTTTGTATATTTTGTTGTGTTCTGTTGACAGATGCT